ATGGAATTTCCTATTCCTGCTAAAATGACAGGAATTAACCTAAAAAAATATTTCAACAGGAAATTTACCACAGAGAATAATTGGCTAAAAAGAAGATAAACTTGGCCATATATGAATGATGGTGTTAAACTCTAAATTAGGATGAGGAATAAGGTACCTGTGCAGCTGCCTTGGCGAACGTTGACCTTTTATTCTTAGCCTGATTCATCCGTGAAAATGAGTTCTTCGCTGAAAACCGAGTAATCATCCAACAAATTTCCTCTCATTTGCCCATGTTTGGCACCTATTCTCTTTTTCATTCTTCATTTCAACCACACAATCTCCAAATAAAATAATATTACCCACAAATCTAAAACTTTTCATCACTTTTCCACTACACAATCTCCCATCAAACACTATTCTAAAATTTTTCAACCCATTAAAATGGGTGTCAAACACTAATGTTTATTCCATTAGTAGATTTAGGAAAAGATGAATGAGACTCAAATCTGTAGCATCCATTTCATAAAGCTCGAACTAGCCATCGTCTAAGACACCCATTTCATAGAGCCACTACAGGTTGATTCTCTAAACGGCATGATTCAACCATATTTTCTACCTATTAGTTAGTGTCACTTAATTGCTACCTAGACTTGTGATGATCATTAGTATAGATAATACATATGTACGTTCATATGTAGCCTTTCTATTCCCAATCCAGCGATTATTAAGATAATATCTTTGGATATGTCAATAGAGAGACTGTGAGTTCGAATATTTTCCAGTTGAATATAATCAGTTTGGATGCTCTTCTTCGACCAATGAACGAGATTCAGAAAACAATATAGATATGTCACAGATTTGAAATATAAATTTTTGCTTCATATTCTACTTTCTTGTATCCCCATTTTTGTACAATGTAATTTTTTACTTTTTCTCGCTTTATCTAAATATCAGACCTAACCTCATCAAACTTTTGGACGATATTATAAAATATGAGGTTGTTTCCCTCTCGGCGATAATGTGTATCCACATCGTCTCACCGATCAACTTTGATCCTTGTTATTTTAAGGGTCATATCTAATATTCAGAATTTGCTTAATTCGATAACGCTTTCACAATTTGCACCAGGACATTGTTTTATCCTATGCGTGTTTATATAAAATATTTTTTTATTGTAGAGTAGTTTAACTTAATAAACAAACATACTAATAAACATTTTAAATATTTATTTCAATCATGTTACATGTACACTTCATTTGACATCAAGTTTGACATTTTGTCACATGTTGTGGAATAATTAGACAGTTTTAAAATAAAATACACTTTTTCGTCCATTTGTATTTGAAAATACATGGAGTGTCAAACTTCATGTCAACCAATTAATGTACAATAAGTTTTATTCTATTTATTTTCATAAAGTCTACGACACGTTGTGTTTGCTGGTTTCTCTCTACCAAATGTAACACGTTCATCTTGACCCTATTTACACATGCACCAATAAACAAGAGATAACCCAACGACTTTGTATATATGATATATCTACCAACAATCAGTATTCACCTGGATCTGGATCAGTAACACAAACAATTGATCGATCTTGACTGAATTGTAGACCTGTTGAGCATGCCGGAAGGTTCAATTCCTAGCTTTCCCCAAGAAATCATGGTGGATATACTTTTAAGACTCCCTGCAAAATCCATTGGCCAGTTCAGGTGCGTATCGAAACGATGGCGTTTCTTGCTATCTGACTCACAATTCATCAATACACACCTTAATCTCCATGCTGAAGAAGGAAATTTCATTCTTATTTCCCAAAATCACTCTCTTCACACCATCACTGATGTCGGAGGTGACCCCGACGTGTCGAGAACGCTAAGGTTTCAGCCAGAACTGCCTGATACATGGATTGAGATGGTGGGTTCTTGCAATGGGTTGGTTTTGTTAGTGAATGAAGAAGACGAAAAGTTTCTGGTGAATCCCACTACGTTAAACCAGGTTAAATCATCCAACTTGTTTCACTTTTTGTTTAGTTTAGACACTCCATCTTCTAAATTAGTTGTATCCCGACTAATGGAAAATACGAGGTGGCATGAAAAATCCATTAGTATATTCAGTGTTTTAAAAGTGTAAATCGAACTATGCGGCAAGGTCAAGCTTCAAACTTTACTACCTTAAATAGAGCATTTTCTTATAATATATGGTGGATTTGTTTCTGTGAACTGATAATTTGATAAGCTCCTTGGATAGGTTGGGCACCTGCGTTTATATTAGACTAATATTAAGAAGTCAAATATAAAGGATCAAACTAGCTAATTTTGGATAAAAAAGGTTTGCTTACCAAATTGAAACAACACTTTGAGTTGGGTGACTGATGGTGTTTATAACCACAGGTAAAAATACCGGACTCACCACTGGCTCTAATGAAACCTGGGAGTTTTTCCATGCATGGATTAGGGTATGGTGCTTCTAGTGATGATTACAAAATTGTCACGCTATCTTATTACGATAACGACAATGAGTATGAGCTGGATTGTGCTGACACATTTGTGGATTTGTATTCTGTGAAAAGGGGTGTTTGGTCGAGGCTTGAACCTTCTCCTTATGATCATGCTGTTCCTGATTTATCCCCTGGGGCTTTTGTTAATGGCTCTATACATTGGTTGGCTAGTAGTAGAGAAAGAGGTTATCCATCTGTTATTGCAGCCTTTGATATAGTTAATGAGAAATTTAAGGAAATTCCAGCTCCAGGCAGTCTCGATGTAAAACGATTTGTGTTTAATAAGCTTTTTGTTCTTAGGGGATGTCTTTGTATGATTGATACGCGAAACAGGGCTGAAATTGATATTTGGTTAATGGAAGAGTATGGTGTCGAAAAATCTTGGGTGAAATTTAGTGTTGCTTCGAATGGTTATTGGGATATGGTTAAGCCCTTATACTTTATTGGGGATGATGAAGTTGTGTTGGAAATTGATGAGGAGACATTGATTGTCTGTAATTCGAAAGTAGGAACATTGAGGGATTTCATAGTTGATGGAGCTCCTGCTATGTTCATAGATGGAGGAACCTTCGTGGAGAGCCTCATCCCACCTAGTTATAGTGATTGGATCAGAGGGCAGCATTCTGTTTCAGTTGGAAGTGGAGAAGGATGAAAAATGTAGGTAACTTTTTCGTTTCTAATAGAATATCTCTTATTTTCACCCTTTGGTAATGCATTTGTGACATGTTCCATTTGGATACTTTGATTGGCTTATGGACAGGATTAAAGAACAAAAAATTAATATCTTGTTCATTCTCCTCTACAATGTTATCCATTACTCTATACTGAAGATATATTTTTGGTGACAGGTTGTATTACACAAATTCCACACAGTACATTGAAAGAAACATCCTCAACAAATCAACCGATTAAACTGATAGGTGTCCATGCGTATAGGAGTATTTGCATGAATGTAACTTAATTACATAGTATTTTATGTTGTTTTTCCGACTATTACAAAGACTTGTTGAGGAACATCTAAGGATGACTTTGCTGTTTGTAACTTTTTTCATGAACATGGAATGTTGCTTGTATTTTGGTTTTGGCTTATTTTACGAAGAACTACAATTATTTGCATCCTTTTAATCAGCTCCTCCTGGAGATAATTAGTTTAAAAAAGCTTTTTAACTATTTAGCAATAGCATTTATATTTCTCACATAGCCCTTGACTGAGCACATTCCTGCATCTTAGATAAGTAAAAGCCTAATTCTAACTACAATTTACAATCGATTGGAATTTTCATTTTGCACTGAGGGCATTTTGTGCCAAGTATTTGACAGTACCAGACACGAGAAAATACAAAATTTAAACTTATTTTCTTCTTTAGTCCAGACTAGTGTTGTTCAGCTCACCATACCAAATATGATCTGATTGTATTTGAGCCCAAACAATTTCATGACTAGGTAAATATTTGGTTTCGCTTTCTTGGAGGTTTTGTCCTGACCCGCGCACCCCACATCACCACACCAGTTCTGGGGGACAGAAAATGCCTTCGAGACCTCTAGCGTCCACAGGCCACAGCAAAAAATTGGCAGATTACTTGGATTACGTAAAGTTATTATTAAAATCATTTTGCATTGGTCACCATAATTTTGTAATTTGATAAATTTGTCCGCAGGAGAGAACCCAAACATATACTTTCCATGACGTTGAGAATTGCACAGATACTTAGTTAGCCATTTCCTTAGACAGATGCAACGTCTCTATGTTGTTAAATTTCTCGGTCATAAAAATAATCTCAATAGTGACTAAATTATTGGCCAAACATTATGTTAATGGCGTTTCTTCTTGAATTAAAAGCTGCTTGAGATCTCAAAAGCATTTGGATGCGTTGGCATTGTCAAAACAATCTGTCTAAGCATTCTTTCAAGAAATCCAAGAAACAGCTGCTGCTCCATGATGTTCCTACTTCGATTATCTTCCAGACTTGGAAAATCCCCATTATTTTTCTGATTTTGACCCTGTTGAGAGGGTATGGAATTAGATAGCAGAGAGTTGGAGAGCAGCGAACTCCAGGATCGACTTTAGTGAGTTACCCTACTCGATAATCCACCTCATCTTGTCATTCTTTCCCATGGAATATGTTCTCAGGATAACCGTTCTTTCCAAACATTGGAAAGACCTCTGAATCTCTGTTCAGTGCTTCCATTTGTGAGCAAAAGAAGATGACTTATATGATTTTTGAAACTTGGTTAACTGGACTCCGATGCTTTGGAAAGGTACAAGTTTAAATACTTAATTGCAAACTTCCGAAACTTGCATTGGATTATACGGATTAATTGTGAATAATGAGGAGTAAATTATGAAGATCTAAAGATGAGGAACTTTAAGGTGCAAAGAAGAAAGGACTCGAGCTAAACGAAAGACGAAATCAGGGACAAAATCGTAAGAGGAGCAACATTATAAACATGCAATCACAAGATCTCAACGCTGATCAAAGAAGAAGCAGAGAGAAAAGTGAACAGCATGTGTGATCGCATTAGGTTGTGCTATGCGATTGCACAGTGCAATCCGACCAGAATTACCAATGGCACGCTGTGTGCCTAAAGTGTGAAAAGACAATGCAAGCTTTGCTATGCTGAAATGTAGTTGTTAAGTCAGCAACACTTCCAAATGCCACTTCTTCCCATCGCATCTATCTTCAGGATGATCTAGTCATAGGTTCTCACTTCTCAGGGAGTGAAAGATTTGTCCTCGGGTCTGCGTTGAAAGCTTCTATTGTAGAACTCATTCGAGAGGGCTTGGGGGGCTTAAAAATGGTTCAGGTAGGGGAATAAAGTGAAAATGCCATCTCTATGGACCATTCTCTGCTATCTATTTTTGACTCCTAAATTCATATATAGAATGANGTCCCCGTGTCTACGTTGAAAGCTTCTATAGTAGAACTCTTTCGAGAGGGCGTGGGGGTCTTAAAAATGGTTCATGTAGGGGAATAAAGTGAAAATGCCATCTCTATGGATCATTCTCTGCTATCTATTTTTCACTTTTAAATTCATATATAGAATGAAATTAACTCCTTCAATTAGGCCCCTCAGGATTGTAAGGAGGCCCCTCCTTCTAGAGATTTGTTAGAGAGATGGATTTGGTATACTAGTCGTATTTATGTTGTGTATTTAATATTCCTCCTGCAGATATGATAAGGAGTTCTTTCTTTGAATAAACCTCTTCTTCGAAATCAATTAGGGTACTGCTTTTGACTTAATTCTTGGTTAATAAAATACATTTTTCATCTACAACTCAAAGGAGGAAGCTAGGAGGCTCTAAGAGAGATAAGAAGCCATTGGAGATCAAAAGTACATATTTCTTGTAAACTTTTATTTCAATTCACCAAATCCACATCTTGTCACACATTGTTTCTTGAAGTTGAAGAAGAAGAAGATAAAAGAAGAGAAATCAAGAACCATTGGAGAAATTCAAGATTCAAGACTATATTCCATCTTTTTTCCCAATCTTCAATTCCGGGTGATGATGTATTTATTTAGTGGGTGTTTTTGTACTAATATGATATTGGTTAATTGTATGAATGTTAGTATAATGTTGAACCCTATTTTTCAAGTTTTTATATTTAGTTTCAGATTTTGACATTAAACATTTGTTATGTTTTGAATGGTTGTTAGGAGTTTAATGCTTTTCAATAAGTTGATCACTAGTTGATTGTTTTGTGATTTCTAATGACACTCGAGAGAAGGAATAAGAATTTGGCACTTAGTAGCAATCATTGTAAGTTTTGACAAAGAAGAAAGCCCTTTTGAGTCTTTTTAGTGAACTTATAGATGAGACCCTAGAGAGTCCATAAACTCCCAATTTAGACATAAAAGCCATTCCAAACCTTTTCCTCATGGAAATAGAGATATACATTTATGCTTTGCCTGATCCTTTTGAATGTTCTTCTCTTTTGAATGTTGATGGAGATATAGGGGTCACATGTGAGGATAGATTTAGTTTTACTTGAGAGAGATTATTAACTGAATTAGGAACATTGATCTTCATATCCAATAGGTGTTGTCAACTGAATTGATAATATAATGGATGAATATAGGGGGATTCAAAGTTCTAGTAATTGTCAATTATTTGAGTTTCATAAACACTTCCCAATAATTAGTTAGATTAGTTAATTTAGTATTAGATCTTAGGTTGTTAATATAAATCTCATCTATAACTAATCTTGCTATTCGATTAAAGTTAAATTTAATTAGAACTAGATTAAATACTTACTCCTCGTGAAAATAATACTTAATGAATATTCTTTAGACAAGAATCAAATAATTTTCTGTGGTGATTGGGAAAGGGCTAAGCCCTTCTGCTTTATTGTAGATGAAGAAGCTATGTTGACAAGAGATTGGTTGTGTACAATATGAAAATGTAGGTAAATCGGTTTCATTTGCAATTGAATCTCTTGGTTTTTACTCTCATTATGCAATCTAGATATGTTGGATTGGCAGCATGTCCCATTGTATGACATGAATAGTACAAAGTGCAAGCAAAGGGAACATCTTCAACGAAATCTAATATGTATCTTTATATATTTTTATGTATATCAGTATGTGTGACTTAATTACATGATATGTGGAAAGAACCTTAAAAAGGAGTATATTATCAATAAGTAGCTTTTGAGACTTGTTGAAAGAATTTATAGAGTTTGTTATTCATATCTCTTTTTCTTTTTCCTTTTTCATTGAATATGGAATGTTACTCCTAATGTTTTTGTATTTTGGTTTTGGTTAATTTAGTGAGAACTTGTAGTTATTTGCATTTGCGATATTTCTCACAAAATATCTTTGCTTATTTGGATGTGTAATAGCCTAATTTTAGTTACTAAAATACTTCATGGGAAATTTCTACTCACACTGAAGGCACTTCTTGTGCACCTGACATTAGCGAGCAGCATAACAGATGAAATTTAACTTTTCATCTTTAGTCCAGTTTAGTATTGCCTAATTCATCCTACAAAACATATCTCCACTTGAGTTCCTCCGCGATGAAGTATCGTCTACGAAGATTAAATAATACAGTGCTACAGCCTACATGGAATGTGGATAGTGTCAACTTTCAAGGTTCTGACCCTACCATTGACAAAAAAGATGAGAGAAACAATCTCAGCCATTGCCTATTGGCAACTTTCCTTTTTTTTTTTTTTCTTTCCCTTGTGAGACGACTTGCTGTTTCCTCAAATACTATTGTCACTTCTGGCTGCCCCTTTTGTTCAAAGAAAACACTGAACAGTCAAAGCCCAAGAAATCGAAGAAACTGCTGCTGCCACCTGAGTCAAACCATGGATGAGAATTATGTTTTCCCAGAATTGGATGAGAGTGCAGAATGAGACATCCAAGAATCAGATAGTAGAGAACCTGAGGATCGACTTAGTGAATTACCCGACTCATTTTCTCAATCTTGCCTATGAAATATGTTGTCAGGACAAACATTCTATCCAAACGTTGGATAGGCCTCTGGACTTCAGTTTCATGCCTTAATTTTCAAGCTGAAACAGATGAGTTAGATAAGTTCAGAAACTTTTGTTGGATTATGATGCCATTTGTGATATTTGTATTTCAACCTTTTGGGCAATGATGAAATGGGCTTGGCCCAATAGTGCTGGAATGTTTT